TACTTATGAAACCAAGTGATAACTCTATAGTGGAATAATGCTGTAGTTTATTGGATCTAGTAGATTGATAAGTATCTTAAAACAATGAAATTCAGGAAACATTTATTTAGCAACTCCTACAGGTTGTGCATAATGGAACACTATAGATAGTCAAAGATAGATATGTCATCGCTCAGGGAGAATGTCAGTGAGAAACAATGGAACCAATGGCCAGCAACTCTGAATGGTCAACTCTACCCAAAGACATGACAGCCAGGGCATGGAGTATCACAGAAACCACTTCCAAGAGGAGACCTTCCCTTGTTCAGAATCAAAAGAAATCTGGTGTCATAAAAGATGCATCAACAGTGTCAAGTGAGGCTCAGAAATCAATCAGAATGAGGAAAGAGAAAAGAGTCATTCAGTTTGGTCAGAGTTTAATCAACAATCTTAAAGAGTTTAGTAATGCTGAGAGAGCAGAAACCAAACTGGCAGGAATGAGTTAGAGATGGAGTAAAAGCTCCGCTAGAGATCAGAGATGGAAGTGGGGAGCAAGGCAACATTGAGGATGGGGAAGTCTGAGCTTATTTGATGCATAAGGAAGAGAGCCAAATGAAGAGTGGGAGATGGCTTCTACTACGGCTAACGCGTGTCCAGCCACACTCAAATTTCCAAAGGGATAAAGAGAAAGGTAAAAAGAAGGAATTATTTTAAGGCAAAATGTCTTAGCTACTTATCTGGTAATGTTATATTTGAGTGATAGAAACTATTTAATTCCAGTTTAACTCATTCTGTATCTGGACTGCATGGAAATCCACAAGCCAGGAACATCTTAAATAACCTTCTTTGATTCCTGATTCCTCACTTGTACTGTCTTTCCTAGATCTCTTTACAAGGAAAAGCCAAAAAGTAACACTATTTTCAGCAGGGAAAAATGAATAAATGCATTCTCTGTGCCAAACTGTGATAATAATCCATGGTACATATGTTTTAATTAAAACATGAAAAGGGGATTCAGGTACCAAAATTTAATTAAATGTTTATGGCAGCATTCCATGTGCCAAATTAATCCATAAAAATGCTGCACTTTGCATTTTTGAAGATTGAATCCATTCATAAAATTCATCAGTTATGTCCAGTCACCCTGCCTTTTCCCTAATACTGTGCACAAAGCCATGTCCTTCAAAAGCAAGACCACGGATACATACAGCATGTAAAGCCCCCTGGAGTCTTAGCTTCAAATAGGACTTGGCTTTTGAAATTCTACTTTTCTTTATAATGATGGAGGTTCTTCCAATATCTAGATGTGGTCATCGTTTGCTACTATTTAGATGTTAGCTTGTGCGGTATTGGTGTGAGCCCAGGATAAACTGGGACTTGTAAATTGCACTCCAGTATCTTGCCACAATAGCCAAGTAAAATCCCATCTGGGAAAAGTATCATGAGATGTTTTATTTCATAATGCCTGTAGATCCTGGGACCCAACTGCTGAGGAAGAGGCAACATTGGCCGTGGCTGGTCATTGAACACCAGTGTCCAATGAATGTTCTGTCTCCCCTTAGTCCACTTCTTCACAACCACTGCCTCCTCTTGGGTTGCACCAAGCAACACCTGAGAGTGCCCCTGACAGCTCTGCATAAAGGGCTGAGGAAAAAGAAGATTAAAAAAAAAAAGAGCACAGAAAGAAAATAAACAAAGAAGTAGAAGAGAAAAAGGATGTTGGTGGGGTGCGGTCGAGTGATATACAAAGCAACTCAGGTCCAGATAGGTATCTACCAGACCCCTTCATCTAACATCCTCCCAGGTGCATAGTTTTTTCTTCTGTCACAATGGGGTGAAGAGTTCACCCTCAGATTTCTTTAAGTTTTTGCATTAATGTGGGAAGACATAAGCATGATACTTATTGAAACATGTTGTCGGGCCAGATGAGCAGGTAAGGGAAAGTATCAGAAACACCATAATCTTTCAAGGGAGCTAACAAAGAAAGAAGGAAAAAGAATAATGCCTCCCAGCTTTGTGCATATAATTTTAGTTATTTTGTAAAACCAGACTCAAAGGGGAGGAAAGAAACCAAAGAAAAATTATCTTTTTCTAAAAGCTCTTATTTTCCCTAAAAAAAAGAAAAGAAAAGTTGCTGCCTTGAGGCACAATCTATCATTTAAGCTTTTCTTCCAGTTGATATTTCTCTAAAGTTTTCATGCCCTGCAGCCTCAAAGTCTGTGCTCAAAATTAACAAAGAAATAAAAAAGTAAATCACTTCTCTGATGGTCTCTTTCCTCTCTCTACTTGGACACTTCTCTGATGGTCTCTCTTTGCCTCTCTCTACTTGTTCCTGTACTATGAAGCTGCCATCTCTGCCTGGAAGAAAGGAAGGGTAAAGAGGAAGTAGTTGGAACACACCACCCTACATTTGAAATCAGGGTGGGTCGGAGTAGCAGTCAGGGGATCGTAATTGTCACTAAAATGACATAAAGAGTAGAAGAGGGAGGGTAAATGTCTTGTTCACATCTCTCTTTTTTAGAGTTAGATAAAATGAACTAGCCAAAATCCAAATTTTTTCTCCTGAAAAAAGAGGTCCCGAGTTATTCATTAAGGAAAAGCCTTCCAATTCCCCCAGGAATCAGAGCATTCTCTCACATAAGACAAACCTCTTATAATTTCAGCATTCCCTTAGGGGAAAAGTTTGACTTGGTAAATAAGATGAATTGTGCAGTAAACTTTTAGAGTTCTTTGTGCAACATGGATGGATGCTGAAGTCATTGGAGGAATAATTTTCCATTTACCATATTCAGCAGCAACACAAGAGAGAAAAGAGCATAGGAGTAGATAAAATTTCCGGTAAACATGGGCTGGCTCTTTCATTTTAAGTGTCAAAAATATACCACCTTCTATTTGTATTTTTTATGTGTATGTGATCTAGATTCCTTCGTGCTTGGAGTGACCTAGAGAATAGATTGCTGTGAGCAGTTGTATCATAACCAACTTTTAGAAATCTAAAGAGTGATTAGGGCTTTCCCATCTCCCTTTGCCTTTCTCCCTCCCTTGGGAGGAGTACAGGTACTTGCAATGACTTTAAAGGGGTGCTCCACCTGTCTCCAGATTCCTAAAGGCTTAGTTCACACCCCAATATGTGATTTCATATATGATACTGTAGACTCCTGAGTAGACTGAGTTCTAAAGCCAATCATGTCTTGTAGAGCATAGGGCAAAGTTTTCATCTTCCTTTTACTACCAAACTCTAATTAGCAATTTAATAGGAACAGAATTTTTCTTAGTTCTCCCATCTTTAGAATATGAATGATTATACAATTTATAAAGAGTGACTAAAGGATGTGGAGGTCTAAGTGCTTGCTCTTCTGTGAGAGTTTTATATTATTCATTGAACGGAAAAGGCCTTGGTTATATGTGCATTTGATCATAAAAGGATGTGAATGGTCATTGAGTTTTGCACTATATATATATATATATATATATATATATGCATATGTGCTTATGTGCCTGATTCAGCTTTATTAAGAGTGCACCAGACAAATCATCAGCATTTGTCCACATATCAGAAATAAATGACTTGCCTTTCATATATCACTGAGTACAGCCCAGGTTGTTGGGCACAGAAGCAGGCAAGTGTCATCGTGCTTTGTACACTGTACCATGTCAGCAGCCCCACTTACTACAGAGCCTGGAAGAGATTCACTTGGCCATCATTCAATGAATCTCTCTCTCCTGCGACTACTACTATATATCCAAGTGGCTCAGACATAAATTTTTGTCTCATGAGGATTCTCTTCTGAAATCCCACTCCAGTGTCTACAACTATCCTGTTTAAGCAAAGGGAATTTTACTTAATACTTGCTTCTGTCAGCTCTAATACCTCCTTTAAATCATTAAGGCCCAGAAATCATTAAACACTTCTTAAGCAAAGGATGGTGTAATAAGTATTCTTCAAAATTGCTGATCATCCACTGACATCCTAATAGTGAGTGAGGAAGTAAGTACAACTCAGTCATGACTGAGGTGTCTGCCCCTAAGGAAGGTGCAAAGGGCCAGGGGTGAGAGGTAAGCATAAATCATTTTCTCCTTAAGAAGTCAAAAAGTTTCTCATAGTTTTAGTTTATTCTAAGACCAAAAAAAAGTGTCATTTAGGATAATTTCCCAGCTTATTTTTAAGTACATTTCTGTTTTTTCAGCTGACTCCAGAAATTTATTTTGAGTACACTAACTTTACTCCTCTAATTTCTCTTAAGTACACTAATGAAGCCAATGGTCAATTACTGGCTTCCACATTCTAAAATGTTTGGGGGATAAGAGTTCATCTTAGACCCTGATGAACTTCTACCAGAAAGTTATAAAAAAATCTAAGGAAGTTTGCCAGGAAATAAACATTTTACTTAAACCCCAATAGAAAAAAGTTTAAATTCTATGTTTTCTAATTTTTGTAATGTTAAAAGAGACAACTTCTACTAGGCATAAGTTTACACCCTACACACTCACACACACACACACACACACACACACACACACACACACACACCCTCCAAACTGTATGTATCAAGTCATAAGCAGAGATTAGTAAATTACTAATCTTAAAGTTACCACTTTACTAGGTAGTTCCAGGGTTTTGCCATCTGTCTCTCTTACTTCTGAAATAATCATTCTAGTCAGAGTAAACATCCTCGAAGTGACAGCCAAGCTTCTTGAGGACAATTTGAATGCTTTCAGGAAAATAAAGAACTATAGAGGCATCAACTTTTTTTCTGCTCAGAAAATCCATGTGCTCTTTCTACCTATAATGATTCCGAGTAATGCCCTTGGCTTGTCACTGTTATTCCAGGGACTACCTAATTTTGGATTACCTGCTTTTTTGCTACCATATTTTTTGTATCCTCTTTGCTTTCCATTGACTCTAACAGCACTGTCATTAATCACATCCACAAAATTAGTTTTCCATTGGTGTGTTCAGTTCCTCGGGGGGGTGGGGAGGAAGCAGCATTCATTACTCAATGGGATCTCCTTTATGCCAGGTCCAGATTATAAGGAATTAGATGTTCACCTTCGGAGGATGGAGTCTGGATTTGGCTTCAGAATCCTCGGGGGAGATGAGCCTGGACAGCCTGTAAGTCAAATCCCCTTTATTTCCACACTTCTGCTATATTGTATGTATAAGCACCAGAGAAAATATTCAGTATGACATCTAAAAGGCAATGTTTTAGGACTCATATAAAAAAACTTGAGGTTTGTTTTTTCTTGGAATTCTCTTTACTAAAATCTCACAACATGCAGATATCTCCATGGACAATATCTTATCATAGATCACATTACTCTTTTTTAGAATGGATTGTATTCCTCTCGTGTATTTCAATTATTTAATTGTACTGGAGCCCTGATCTCTGTGGGCAGCAGCTCATGGGTAGACATGCAGTAGGACAGAAGAGACATGTGAAGCAGTGACTTGGAACAGCAGAATTTTGTATATTTTCAACCAAAACAACAATGGAGAGAAAATGCAGAGATAAACAGAAGTAAAATCAAGCTTAGTGCTGCAGAATCTCAGCCCAATTTGAATTATGAGATTACTATGAGAAGATGTTCAAAAAGTCAACTTCAATTGACACAGTCTTGAGAATTTGAGGAGAAATCATATATATGCATATGTGTGTGTGTGTATATATATATATATATATATATATATATATACATATATACAAGCACATATATGTGTATTTAGAGTGAAAGAATACAATAACAACAGTCATTAACACACAGAAAATACAGCAAAGCTAGATTTATGAGCATGTATTAAATTATCGGCTATAAAACACTCATTGGAAAAGATGTATCTTAAATGACACCCAATGTGTCTAAGTGAGGTACATGAAAGTTTTGAATAAATGAAGAGCCTGAGCTGTGCAGTCAGTGTCTGCACTCCACCCCAGCTCTAGCACCTGCACCCCATCCTGGCTCATGCAAGGGAACTAAATACGAAGCCTCAGTTTTCTCATCTGCAAGATGAGGATAACAATAGTATTATTTCATAAAGTAGCTTTAAGGGTTAAAAGTAACATATGTAGATATCTTGGAATGGTGCCTGAATCATATTAAGTGCTGAATAAATGTTTATCATCATCAACTTTGTCTCTCTTGTTACTCGATCATTCCAGAAAGTAAAACTTAAAATAAAAATAAGACTGATGGCAGAAATCTCAAGGAGAAAAAAGTCCACCTAGGAAATGAAAGAAATCTGTAATGATTAAAACTGTCCCAGAGTGAAGTAGCTTGCCTTGGTAGAGAGTGAGCCCCTTCACCCGAGAAGCAGTCAAGCAGAGTCAGTGAGAACCAGCAGGAGCTCCAGACAGGCTTCCTGCAAGAGGAGCAGGACCAGACGGTTGCTGAGGTCCCCTACTACAGAGGACTCCAGGAGGATGGACGTGGACTCCAAGGACGAGGGCACTCCAGGACAAAAGACTACTTCCTAATTCTTGGGGATAAGATTTGGCAACAATCAGCCAGAATGTCACTTACTCCCCAGCTGCCAAAGAAGATGTGAAAGTGCGCTGGCCAACGAGGGTTGGCAGGATTTTCCTTAGTGCTCTGGGAAGAGAGAGAATGCTTAGGTAAAATATAGGGCTCCAGTAACTTCTGACTTAAATTTATTCAGACACTAAATTAAGGCTCTCATGTCACAAGTAGAAGCAGCAGATCTTGGTTGCGTTTTGCTTCCATCCACAGTTTTGTCCCCCTTTCCCTCTGTCACCTGCTTCAGAGTTCACCAGGGGTCCTCGGTTGCCTGGCGTGCCCTGCAGCCTCACTCCTCTCTACGGTTCATCTTGTTTTATAGATAGAGAGCTGAAAATACTATCCATCCCTCCACTTATGTAAACACTTGGCACACCGATTTATACCGCAAAACCTCCTGACCTCCACAGGGTATTTATGTGACTTGGCTTCCTTCAGGATTGTTCTCTAACATGTTCCTATGTCTGCCTGTTTTGTTTGGTCAGCCAGATTTCAAATTCCTTCTAAAAGAGGACTTTATCTTCCCCTTTTTATTCTACTTTAGTGCCTCATAAATGAAAAATGTGCCCTTTACCAGAGTTAACCAACTTGAGGTTAAGGTCACCGTCCTCCAGACTGCTACATCTGCCCAAGACTCCTGACATCAACTGAAATGGGCTCACCAAACTGCAAAGTCAAAGGGAAGAGTCTCAACAGACTGTCCCCACTTTAGATGCCAGCTGTAAATTTGGGGATTCTCACTGCAAAACAGGTTTACTATGCACTGGTTACCAACTTATGTGAGTCCAGTGAGACAGAACACCCACACACACGAGTTATATGAAGTGGGTTTATTATTTACAGATAGGCACCAAGGGACAACAGAAACTTAGGATTCATTATGAGCCAGTCCCCAAAGGCTTAGGAAACTAGCCCAGGACAGATGGAGTCTCAACTGCATGTGCCCACCCATCTGCACCACAGCTAATAGATCCCCAAAAGCAGTCCACGTGGGTTTTATGCCCCAGAGTAATATGAATTAGAGAGCTAAAGCATTGAAGGACATCCTGTTTCTAGGGGAAACTGAAGCAGAACCCAGGCTGTTCCAGCCAGCCCCTTCTTATCTCAGTATGTTGCATTCCCAGCACATAGTACAGTTATTTTTAAGAACTACAAGTGAAAGCGGGGAGAACTGGATTGGTCCAAGGCCACTCAGAGAACTGTCCTGCACCCACAGCCTTCCTCAGGTTTGATAATTCATTAGAACAACTCAGAATTCAGGAAAGTGCTATACTTATGATTACAGCTTCATTATAGGGAAAGAATACAAATTAAAACCAGCCAAAAGAAGAGATGCATAGGACAAAGTCTAGAAGGGTTCCAACTGTGAAGCTTCCATCATCTTCAGAGATATGTTACCCTTCAACATTGATGCACAGAGTATTGCCATCAGGGATGCTCACTCAAGCTTTGGTGTCCTGAGTTTTTACTGAGGTTTCATTACATGGGCATTGAATCATTATCCACATGGCTGAGCTAAAATCTCTACCCCTCTCTCTTCCTTGGAGGTCAGGCTGATGTCACATGGCTCAAAGGCCCAACCCTCTAATTACATGGTTGTTCAGCCCCCCCTAAAATTATTGGTGTGACTGGTCCCATCCTGAGTCATCTCCTTAGCATAAACTATCAGGTATAGTCTAAGGGGCTCACCAAGGACAGCAAAGGCACTCCTAAGGGTTTGGAGGTTACCTTTCAGGAACCATGGACAATGTCCAGACCTCTCTTTGGGCCAAAGCCAAATTCTTTATTACAAAGCCATATTCTTAAAAGATACCAAACAAATGAAACAAAATTAAATCATGCTCAAAATAAAATACAACTTTAAGGTAATTTTTATAGCATTTTGTAGGATACTGGGCACCAGCTGAGATTACAGGGTATTTAAGGGTGAATCCATATAGAATCCAGAACACTTATACTAACAAAATACCTCAAACTTACCAACCTAAGGGATTTCTACCAGAAAAACAAAGTCTCTGTTTGTTCCAGAATATACTGACTAAATGCTTCCCCCCCCCACCCACATACCAACCTGTGTGCTCCTTGAAAGCAAGGACTGTGTTTATGTCTTCCAAGCCTGGCACAGAGCCTGGTAAAATAAATATTTGTTAAATGGAATTGAAGAAAGTACTTTTCACCAAGCCATAACTGTCACCTGAGCTTCTCAAAGCAAATAATAATCTGGAGTTTATATTTTCTGAAGCCTCTAAATCCTACGGGCTCTGTAGAAGGAAACTGGCTTAGCCCTAGAAGCAGAGCTGGTATCCTGGTGGCCTACAACATGCTTTATTTAGCTCCCCCTGTGTTTTTATATTGAGCACCAAATAATTTAATGTTTTTAAAGTTTTTGATTTCCATCTTCTCCTGAAAAATATATCTAGAAACAGTGAGTTTGCCTTTCTCCATGACAAGAGGAGCCAAGCAAAGGTCCCTTTTAGACTGAACATGGCCAGCGTTCCCTTATGCCTGTTACCCATTTAGACTACTATCTTTGAACTCCCATCCCAGAGGATTGAATTGAAAGAAGTAAGAAATTGGAATGATGAATATTTTGTACCAAAGGAGCCTTTACACTGAGCCAGATCATGGTCTTTATAGGCCCCAAGCACTGAAAATATTATCAGATCCCTTCTCCCATATATACATACAAATAAAACATTAAACTGTAAAATAAGTATAAGACAAAGCAAAAACGTCCTAATTCTTCCCAAGATCCTTACTTTAATACAGTCTTTGAAACATGAAATTCTAATTTTGCTGGACCCCTAGCTTGTGCTTTTTCTGCTTTGGAGGTAAACCAGCACCCCATTCAGTAAATATGATCTTCAGCTCTCCCCACTTGCAGAAGCAGAAGGGCTTGCATGATTGAGTCATAGGGAGGGTGTAGTCTCAGCGGCTCAAGAAGGGAGAGGTCTTGTTGGACTTTGTTTAGCACAGGAGTAATAGAATTATTACCAAAATGGAACACATACTGTTCTACATGAAGCTAAGGTGTGTTCATGAAGCCATGGTCACCACCCACCCGTAGGACATCTTTCTTCCTGGTTTGTACATAGGTTCCCAGATTCCCAACCCTTCAGAATCTTGTCTTTGCATTCTCAAGTTTTTTCTCCCCTCCAGTGGGCAGGCATCAAATATTTATTATAAGCCTCCTCAGATTACATGGATTGCTGGTTATCCTTTTTGTGTTTATTTAGATTTACTCTGGTTTATTCCTCCATTTGAATGATTTAAGACACAGTCATGCTGCAAGTTACAATTTTTACATTTAAACCATAAAGTAGAGCCTAAATCTCCCTGAAGCAAGCAAAGCCAGAAAATGAGTCTTGAAAACCAGAATATTATATCCCAGAATGACCGTGTCAGGAAGAGTGGGTCTACCGTAAGATCTCCCATCAGTCTTTCCTTCCTGCTTTCCTACATCCTAAGTCCAGGGATGACATACAAACAAAATGTGCCAGCCTCATTTAATTACTAGTGAGCTGCAAAGGGAGAAGCATGTGTGGTTGGTGACTTAGTCCCCAACCACAGGCGGTTTCATAAGTTACATCAAAAGGGTTTCTGGCTCCATAGACCGGAAATGGTATTGACATCCCAGGGTGCACATTAAATACGACCGCACAGCCTTCAACAAATAATGAACAGCAGGACTCCAACTCAAACAAAGCATAGGGACATTTTTCCTGTAAGAGGAAATACTTTTCACAGTTAAATAACAATAAAAATAGAAAAAAAATGAAAAATTGAGGGAAAAGAACAAAAATGGGATTTCCAGCTGTGAACTAAAAACAGATGGAAAGGCATCAAGATGGAAAGATCTGGAAAACATTGCAGTGAAGAAAGGCCTGTGTGGAGAAAAACCATCAAAGAAAGAGATTGTGACAGACCTATGCCTTGGCACAGGAGTCTACTGTGAACTAGTGGAGGAGATGCAAAAGGAAAGAGCCTGAAATCTGCTTACTGCAGTATCGAGTTGGCCCAGATACACCTATTGCAGAACAGATTACTGGGGTCAGACAAACTTTGGGTAGCACAGGAAAGAATTAAAGCTATTAAAAGGCCTGGAAAAGTGGTTTTGGTTTTGTTTGTTTCCTACTTGTGTGTTTTTGTTGCTTGTGTGTGTGTGTGTATGTTTGCTCGCACGCACACGTGTGTGTTTTGGAGAGGAGTGTTAATGTTAGTTTTTTCCCCTGGCTTACTGGGATATTAGCCAATTGAATGTGAATTACTATTTCACATCAAATGCTCTGTTTTGTTCTGTGCCCTGACAGCCTGAGATAAAGTGGAGTTATGTAGTTGTTTTGTTTCTTGTGTCCTTTAGAGAAGGCAATTGGAAAGATAGGGCCATGGATCAGTTGTTCATGGGAAGGTCTTTCTTCATCTGTTTTGCCGCAAAAACTCTTCCTTCAGGACCAAAGTGATGGGAATGGTATAAAAAGCCCCTTCAAGAGTGCAGGGAAGAGAAAGCCGAAGAGTGGGACTGAAGAGTCAGCTGAGGTTCCAGCGAGACCAAGGGAGGTAACGAATGGGGCAGGGCTAGTGTTGGCTGGGAAGGTTCACTGGCCAGTGTGGCCAGGGGTCAGGGGTCAGCAAGGCCAGAGGAAAATGTAGTCTGATGAGTAAGGGAGCCTGGACTAAACAGCCATCAGGAGTCCCTCAGCTGACCTGGAAAGTGATCAGTGTGATAGGTCAGGGAGCTTAAGCCATGCACCCAAGGGAAAGTCTCTCAGCAGACTTGGAAAGTGACCAGTGAGACCACAGACCCTGTAGCCATTGAACCAAGTAGGAATACTCAGAACCTTGTGACTCAAAATGTGATTGATCTACAAACCAGCATCATCCAGCAACATGCAGAATTTCAGGCTCCCTCCCCCAGGCCTGTAGAATCAGATTCTTGGGGGAAAGAGTAGGGAGATCCAAAACTGTTTTAACAAGCCCATCAGGTGATTCCTACACACACTAAAGTTTGAGAACTACTGACTTAAAGTTCAGATATCCTGAGGCATGTTCTCAAAAGCTTAGGTGAACACGAGAACGTATACACTGGGAAGCCAACCTGAGAGCTACAATGCAAGAAGGAATCATAGATTATCCCATCCCTGCAGTTAGACAATGGGATATGATAGGATGTGTCAAGTGTACAAATTGTATTCAAAGTAAAGAAAAAGAAAGTTGTGTTTTTGTCCCAACTAGAGAGACATCTAGAGCTATCTCTGTGTAACAGTGAATTGTATCGCATGGAGGTGCAAGCTGCCGGAGGCTAAGGAGCAGCAGCAGCCTGAGAGCTGGGAGCAGTGGCAGTGCGAGTGGTCAGTGCGGGCGGTCAGTGCGAGTGGTCAGTGCAGGTGGTCAGTGCGAGTGGTCAGTGCGGGTGGTCAGTGCGGGTGGTCAGTGCGGGTGGTCAGTGCGAGTGGTCAGTGCGGGTGGTCAGTGCGAGTGGTCTGCATCTGCCCAGCAACGGCAGCAGTCCTGATGCATGCAGCGAGTATGATGAATGTCACTGATGGACAAGCATCTCTAAGGCCTACCCAGTGAACCTTGCTCAGCTTATTTCAAGCTTACTTAATAGCTGTGGCAACACTTTTCTGAAATAAGGTAGAGGATAGACTATATAGTGTAATTATATAATAACATATATATCTGATAATTATATAGTACTACACAATAAATTATATTGAAGTATTACATTGAAGACACTGTTTATTTAGATATTCCACTGAAGTGTCAATTGAATATATTGTTTATTTAGAATTAAGTATATAAGATTTGATAGAACAAATTAAAGGAAGATTTGAAAGATAAAAGCTCTGAGTTTTAAAAAAATGTGTCCAGTGAACTTCAGTCTTTGCTCAGATGTCAGCTTTTCCATTAGGCCTGCTCTAGCCAACTCTAACACCACCTCGGACACATGGCAGGTTCCTCCCAGCCCGCTCTGTTTTTTCCATAGTACATGCCTTCTAGCATACTGTTTAATTTGCACATTCATTACATTTGTTATTGTGTGACCACTAGAATGGAAGCTCTTTAGGGCAGGGATTTTAGTTTATTGTTCACTGTTGGATTCCTAGCTCCTAAAAGTATCCCTGGGCTCAATGAATATCTGTTGAATAAATGAATTGAGGAGAGTACCTCATATCACAGCAATATGGCAGAAAAGCAGATGTTCTACTAGGATCTTCCTTTTTATGAATGATGTTAAACTATTAACACAGAATGTAACTTCGAGAATATCTGTATATCTTTGCTGTTTTCCTCTATAGCAAGAGAGGAACAAGAAACTAACTTTACAGTTGCAGCTGTGGCTCTCTCAGTTGTAACCCCTATTTTTTGCTTCACTTTCATCAGTTAGAGCCAGAACTATACCTTAAAATTGATAATTAACCAGCCAAGAAGTTCATGAGCCATTTTTTTTTTCTATAACTAGCTATAAATGCTCCCACTAAAGTATACAGGAAATCTAAAGGCTGAAGCATTTTCTTTGGGCTAACCCAACTAAATGCAGCTTTTCATGGGGTAGCGGAGAAACATAAACATTCATCCTAACTGGCTTTTGTACAAAGCTCTTACCAAATCTTTGAGGTGCTCCACAGTGGATTGAGCCTTTTGAAGAATAGATTGGAACATCTTTAGAAAGAAATTCATAAATTCAGGTTGGCACGACAGTAAGAGAAAAGGGAGCATGTCAGATATATGCTCGACTGCGGGACTCTAGCAAACACGTGTGGTGGGTTGCAGGGAAAGACTGCACCGTGCAGCCAATATAAGGCAGGAGATGAGGCCTTTCCCGTGAGAGCAATAATGAATCACCCCTCGGAACACTATATTCAACATAGAAGCAAGTCTATTCCTCACTCCACTCCAACCCCCAGGAACCGTGGGGAATAGTATGGGAAATTTTCATTCCTACAGAAAAAGAGAGCTATTCAGTGGGCCAAAGCAGGGAAGTCCTTCAGACTGTAACTTTGCATATACCTGAGCAGTCCTGAGCATTCAGATCTGGTTGCCGTGTTGACAGACCACAATGAGCCGAGAACAAAGGAATCGTTCTGCTGCCAGTCCTGGAGATACACCAGCCTGCAGCTCACGATGGAGCAAGTCTGCAAATCAGCTGAAATCCACAGATCTGGAATCTGAACAAAATTACTGTGCCTGAAAAATATCAACCTGTGAGCAAGGGATCATTTTGTGAGGATTTAAAATAAAACCTAGAGTAGGGCCTCTGTAGTATTATGAGGCTATTGGTAACCACTGCCTTCAGGGTCTGGGTGGTTAAACCACTGGCAAAGAAAAAGGAGACCTATCATCCATGAGTTGGAAAAATTGTTTGTAGATTAAACAGCAAAACTAAAATACTTACTACTGTTTTCTTTTCTCTGAGAAAGAAAGAAGACTTGGTAATTGACACTAAATTGAGTGCTTCTAATGGGACTTGGGAAACCTCACACATCACTTTTCATCAGTCTTCGGTTCAGGGAATTACTAACAATTCCCAGATGTGTACCTCCTCACTTCCTGGTATGGTAGCCACTTAAACAGCAGAAGCATTTTGGGGAACAGGCAGAACTGGAAGTGTCCTTGGTGTCGAGGACAGTGCTCTGAGGAAGTATTCAAAAAAATGGAGCAAAATCTGGAGGTCTGACTATGGTTTTTTGAGTAAGTCAAATGCCCAGAAAAAGACAACTCTGAGTTTTGCTTTGTTTTGTTTTGTTTTGTTTTATTCTTACCTTTACCCTTTCAGAGGAAAGAACAAAAAACAGAACAACTTTGAACCTTTATCAGAGTTTAATAATATGCAATAACTATTTTCCCCTTGACATTTTCTGAGCACTCACTGTGTGCCATAAAACAAGTTAAATGTTCCACGTGTGTTATTTCATTCAGTTCTCTCAATAACTCCGTGAAGTAGGTCCTGTTGTTATTTTCCCCATTTTGTAGGTAAAGAAACCAAGGCTCACAGAGGTTAAGAGGCCTTGCCCCAAGGCACACAAATGAGAAATGGAGCCAGGATTTAATCCCCGCCTTCTTTCAGTACAGAGCGCATGCATGGTAGCCCGTTAGCATCAGATTATTTGGAGTCAGAATTTTCCTAGCCAGGAAGCAAGTGTCCGCCAGACTTCGCCACAGTATTTCCCTAGAAGGAGTAAGAAACCCAAAGGAATTGGAAAAGCATCTTTCCATCCTCTCAGTTTTCACTTTCAAGTACATGCTTGAGTTCAGGGCAAGGGATAGAACATGAGAATAAAATCTTCTATGAGTTATAAAGTATAGAGGGAAAATACATATATTTTATATATATAATATGTATTTTTATATATCGTATATTTTTATATATTATATATATTTTATGTTATATATATAAAGTGAAAAAAGGTTGGAAATGGGAATGTCCTTTCCTTCTCGCTGCTGCTCTAGATTTTGATTGGAGCTGTCATTGCCATGGGCTCAGCTGACAGAGACGGCCGCCTGCACCCAGGAGATGAGCTCCTGTATGTGGATGGGATTCCAGTGGCCGGCAAGACCCACCGCTATGTCATCGACCTCATGCACCACGCAGCCCGCAATGGGCAAGTCAGCCTCACCATAAGGAGAAAGGTGCTGTGTGGGGGTAAGTACCAGGACCCAGCGGCAGGAGTTGGGGCTTCGCTGGTGAGATGCTTTTGTGAGACACAGTAAGGACACTTGAGACAAGATTTTAAATCAGTTTCTATATTATATGAGGAAAGAAACAACCTAGATATTCCAAAAGTAACTACGATTTGGAAAGTGCAGATTTTCACCCCACTAATCTAAAAATCCCAACAGTCTTTGCGGCCTACATTTTAGATGTAGTCATTAAAAATTACTAACAAAGCCTGGGGCAATTTAAGATATGTATGCTCTTTTCCCTTTGGTAGATATAAGTTATAAGAAGAACGTTATAGTAGAGGAAAACATGCCTTTTGAAAATGTTCCTCATCATGTTCACAAACCAAGAACCACAGCATTTTGATACCATAATACGGCAACCAGGATGGAAAACTAGCTTTCATTGTAGAGCCTGATAAGAGGTAGCAATAAAACTGTTACCCCGATGTAGAAGAGTATGGCTATACCTCACTCTGAGAGAACACAATTCATATAGCTCCAGACTTATGAAGCAGATAAATTAGAAGTAATAATTCCCTTTACAACCATTTTCTTAGCTTCATAAAAGAATCCACCAAAAACATATTTCTAAAAGTCAGCCCTTATATTCAGCCCTTGTAAATATGATTTGATTTATCTCTCTTAACTATCTCAACCCTCCAAAAAAGATTTATATTTTTAAGGAATATGTCTGTTACAAGCAGAGCAATATTTATTATAATCTGAGAATTCAGTAATGTTCGGATTATAGATTTTCCCTCAGGACCTCCCATTGTTTGTTCTGTGAATCACAGGAGCAGCAGCTCCAATGACATTCTGCTGTCACCTCTACCCCAGCAGCCTGCTGGCCTCTGTTCTCAGACTCTTGACCACCCCTTATACAGAATCATCAATATTAGAATTAGGAGAGATCTTAGCAACGTGAAAACTGAGGCCCAGAGGTTTGGTAGCCTGCCCAGTAGTACACAGTGAGTCAGTGACAGTGCACAGATGGTCTCTTATATCTAGTGCCAGTGCTTATTTCTTTATGCCACTTTCAGTCCCCCTCCCAACTCTCCCAGTGTCCCCACCCCAGTGAATTCAAAGACGTTAGGTCAACCTTTAGCAAATGGCACTCCCTATTGTAAGGAGTCTTCCAAATGTGCTATCATAACATTTGAATCAAAAAAAGGACCACCAGCTAATCACAGACTGTGAATGACTAGAAAGGATAATGTTTATTAGTCAGACTAAAAATCCTTTTCTTTTTTGAGTCCCCTAGAAAGTAGACTTTGAACAAGGGCAATCATTTAAAAGGGCAAGTAGAAGAATTGTCAGCCCTCACCAGTACAGACTGCTATATATCTAGTGTCATATAGAGGATTTGCTAAGAGGTGCTGTTCATTTTCAGAAATTCATGGCATGCCACTTGACCCAAAGAAGTAAAACATCTTGAATTATGCCTTATCCTTGCACAAGATGCCAGGAGAAAGACAGTGCTTGCTTAGTTAACATTTAACTGTTTCTCTCCCAGAAGAGTGATTTCTAATGAAAAGTTTGCTGTGCTATATGTTCTGTAACCTAAAGATAAATTTAAAAGATACCCGATTTACAAGGAAATACACTGCAAAATGCAAAACCAATGCACCAACATAATTTCATGCTCCCTTTGCCACCAGCTGATTATTGCAAATTAAATTTTGTTCTAATCAACCCAGGCTGTTGGAGTGTGTGCCAAATGCTGCAAAAATATATTCTGGCAATTTGTATTCTGGATCATGTGACTTCTATAAAATGCTCTTTGCTGCAGTTCTTACCAACTTTACTCAGTTTGGCTTTTGAGTGCATTTCAAGTGCATTTAATTTTTGAAAATGTTCTGCTGCAGACTGCTCATTCACACCAAGAGAGTTTCCAAGTTAATTCAGCCCACTCTTCCTTGAAAGCTTCGTCAGTATTGAAAATGATTGAGTTCAGCAAAAGATACTTCCATAGCAAAGAAATGCCTAGAAATAGGATTGAAAAGATTTAAAAGGCATGGGAAGATGACCTTTCTTCATAGCTGCCATTTCTCCAAAGCAAGAAGGGACAACTACAAATGGCTATGACAGTGGAGATGCCTTTTCAAGGATTGTTGTTATCATTGTTATTATTTTTACACTTTCATAAACAAAGGCAGTGGAGGTACAAGTCTGGCTTAGGCTGAGATGGGAAGTCAGCGGTCAGCTTGGGAAGAGACAGAGAAGCAAGAAGAGGGGCAGGGTTGCCACGTTCTTGCACAAAGGAACAGTATTGTGGGGAAAGAGCTGGAAAAGAAGGCAGGCCATAGGGATTCTACCCTTCAGCCTTCTCGCCTCGGTGTGTACAAATGTCCTGCCCCACCTCAGACGACAGAGGGCACTGGCTTCCTAACGGACGCTCAAGGTAAAGAACATATTCATTCTGAGAGTTACAGACAGGCTAACTGCACTGAGCAAAAATTAAAATAACACTGAAACATGCCCCAATTATTAAATTATTTTTTTTAATGTACACACTCAAGATAGAAGTCAAAATTTGCAATCAGGCAATGGCAAGCTAGATCCTCAAAAGAGAGAAGTTGTTGAATAAGGGAAGAAACTATCCAGTAGCACCTCCAGTTTTGCTGTAGGTTGATTGAATTGTGTCCCCCAAAGTCCCTATGTTAGAAGCTTAATTCCCACTGTAACTGTTGAGGATGGGAAATCCTATTATGGTAATTGAAAGGTGGGGCCTTGAAGAGGTGATTAGATTGTAGGACCACACTGTAATGAATGGATTTAATAATGGTGGTCAGGGGCATGGTTTAGAGGGCTTTAAAAGGAGAGTGAATGAGATTAGTCTCTGCTCTCTCTGCTCCACCATTTTTGCAATGTGACACCTGCCATCACTGAAGTCATCACCAAAGAAAGCCTTCACTAGATGTGTTCCCTGGACTTTGGACTTCCCAGCCTCGGAAACTCTGATCAATAAATTTAATTTTCTTACAAATTACCCAGTTCCATGTATTTTGTTATAAGCAACAGAAATGGACTAATATAAATTTTATTTACCAAATAATTGTAGCACAGATCTTAAGCCTTGAACTAGTTTTGAGAGATGTCTTATCTACGCCACTAATATTTAGTTGTTTCTTCCCAAAGATATTTGAAGAGTGGCTTTAATTATTACACTGAAAGTATAAATATTTATATGTTTAGCAGCTCAACTTTAGACATTCAACCTCACACATTATTTTGAATGCACACCATTCGTCTGAGAGGAGGGTGTCTCTGAGGAAATTCCTAAAGCGTAAATCTAGAATTGATGTGAAATAAAGTTTTATGACTTAATCAAAACATGTTAGAGTTAGTTTTAAAGCTTTAGCATCTTTTCTCTAACTCCTAAGGGAAAGTCTCATTCTTTGTCTAATGCTGAGAAAGGGAAGGTTCTCTTGGTAGCTGGGTGAAAAGTTTAGCCAGTGTTTAGGGTGCCAGTGCATTCCTGGTCCTGGTTACTACACTTTTTGTCAATTCTAAATGCATTCCCTTGTTCTTTGTCTATGAGCATGTGACCCATTTAAATAAGCTGGCTGCCTTGCTGAGTATAAACCAGGTGTGCCTGCAGGCATTTGTGGAGGCCAGCCCCTACCATTTGCAGGCCCATCACCCATGGGCTGCCCCCGCCCCATGAGGTACTGTGAGGGACCCGGCACACATGCATGTGGGCACCCCAGCCCATGTATCCAAGCTCTGTCCACACATGTTCCTCATTGCTGCAGCCATGCTTCATGGCAAGATGTGCCATCTGCAAGGCTGTCATACTTTCAGGAGACAGTCCTGGAAGCAGGCAAGGTCTGTGTGGTTACAGAATCCTACAATCCTGGTACCCAGTGTGTAGTATAGAAGGGAAACAAAGGCTCCAGTTGAACAAGTCCCTTCGGCCCTGCAGATCCCTCACTCTATGGATAAATGAGTCAATAATTGAGTAAATCAGGTATTTGCAAGAAGCACTGGGATGTGGTCAGAACTGTGGTGACCTGCAAACCACATACCAGGAAAGGGAGCAGCCATTACTCAGCTCCAGCTGATTTATTGCCAAATATTTCAAGTCACTGAGAATCCATATTTCTGTAACATCTTCCTATTTATAAACATTGGCAATTAGTGTTAAAGATTATTAAACAAAGTACAGGCCAGCTCTGTGCAAACCAGGCACAGCCCCTGACCAGTGGTTAACTGTTCTGGTCTAAGCCATTGCAAGCATTGTCAATGACTCCCACCTTCCCAAAGGGAGACCCTCTCCCGGTCAGCGCAGTAGTGATTTCCAGTATGACTAGTGGAGACAAAACGGAAGCTTAATCTAAAAATTGATTATTTGACTTGAGTATATACTAAGTGACTGAATTCTGTGCACCCATTTGTGTGTGAGCCAGAAGAATGAGTCAGGGGTTATAGAAATTAGTGGATTAAAGAAAAAAATTGCACATAATATTTAGTCCCCTAGTGATGTTTTATTCTATTATTCTAAAACAATGTTATTGCCACCCTATACCAGGAAGGGTCGTTGGGAAGAAGACAGTCTGATTTGGATTCAGATTCATCCAGAACAATGATGTAAGATCAATCCCTCAAAGGCAATGATGCTGCCAGTTTTCAAGTGTCAGAGACCCCAAACAAGCCCAGGGCAAACTTGGAAGTCTTCTTCACTTCTTGGTTTTAAATGCTGTATGCTCATTTTGCTGAAGATAAAGAATTTTGTGCCAGAAGTTGAAAGAGCAGTCCCAAAGCAATAGAAAAGTATTCTATGAATATATTTGACTCTTTCACTTACCCATGGACCGCTCACATTGACTTAGTCAATGATTATCTTTCTGTCTCTAGAACCTGTGGCATAGCCACTCCCAGCCACTTACTGCAAAGACAGATGGTTTTCCTTTGCTGCTGATTTACTGACATCCACAGCTCTCAACCCCCTAAAATATGCCAGCCAGAAAATGAGATCTCTCTTGTCACTGCCTATGACATTTAGTTACTGATTCGGTCCAATAAGTCGGGGAGATTTTCAATTTAATGTAGCAGCGAAATAATTGTTTGTTTTTCTTCTTCCTGACTATCTCTAATCACCTTATTTCCAGCTTGCACAAGGACTGATAAAGGACATGTGCTTCACCAAGACATAACAGCTTGTCTTTGGATAATGTTTTCCAGCAGGGAGGGTACATTTTACATGCAGAAGTTTTAAATTCTGATTGAAAAGAGGGAAAGGCTTTGACATTTACATTTTGTTCTTGTATGACATCAGCACATTTCTTGGAGATGAAAAGCATCTATTTTTTTCTCTTATCAACACCTGATTAATTAAATCTTATAGAAAAATCAAATTTACCAAATAATAATAAGCAGCAGCCTGTGTCTCATTCATTCTGTTATTACAAACAAAAAGTAAATATATTTTTGTAAGGCCCTTTTTTAAATCTTGGTGTATGAATAAATGCAGCTCCTGCTTTAGGTATCAGTGTAACAAAACATCTCTCAGAGTCTCTGTTCTTTCTCCCTGACTTTTTCAATTCAGAATGGAATTATAGCTTAAAAAGTTAAAAGCCTTCCGTGGAACTTTTTCTAATTATTTTGAACTTGCCATATGAGACATCTTCCAGAGTTCTAAGTAGGAGATCATATCTAGAGACCCAAAAAGGAATAATTAATTTTGATTATTTTTCATCTTGTTATTCTTCTCTTCCATAAACATATTTAGAATACACTCATCAAATTGTAAGCTGGAAATGAAACAGTCCTATCTCTAATTACAGTAGACTGGGTGCCCACTTCAGTTCTTTTGACCAGAGTACCAATACTGAGGTATTAAATTAAAATGGCAAAATTCTTTCTGGATGGCAGATCAACTTTCTTTCAAAAACTAGCTTCTCTGACTGCCGGCTTTGTAACATTTCTTTAAGTAAATATGTTTGCTTTCTCATAAAAGTACTGGTTTGGCTTGTCTGGTTAATAATACAGTGTACTTTGTAATAATATGGTGTGTAAATAAGCAACATCTCCAACACCTCCTGAAAGATTGAAAATTTATAATTCCTAAGCCTGATATCATTATTAAATTTGATCCTAGAGTGAGCAAACTGCTTTTTTTAAAACAAAAATCTCTATTTATTTATTTATTCTTTTAAACAACTTTATTGAGATATGGTTGACATAAAAAGCTGTGCAAGCTACTTTTAAGAAGTATATTTTAAGAAGTGAACTAACACTCTAGGCCAGCAGAATATCACAAAACAGAACCATGGCTCCTTAGAAAAATATGGTAGGTCACTTTACATGGACAGGCCCTGGGCTGTTAGCCTTACTTGCAATACCTCTACAGCAGCACTTCTCAAAGTGTGGCCTGGAGGCTTGATCCAGATTCCTGTGCCCAACCTTCCACAGGTCTACTGAAAAAAATTTACCATGAGTGGGCCTTGAAGATGTATACTTTTTGCAAGTTTGTTAATTGATTCTTATGTGCAGTACAGTTTAGGATTCTACCTACTTGTTTTATGATCATCTTCCGTCTCTTATCACTCAACTGAGAAGCTCAGTAAGTAAAACCAGGCATTGTCCCTGGGGGTTGCAGTCTTTACAAGAGGAAGATATAAACATATAGCACAAAGGAGGCTGATTAAGGGTTTTATTTGTGTTTGCTATGAAGGCCAGAACTGGGCCAAGACCTGGGAGGCTCCATAGCTAGTTTTAGCATGGCCCTTCAAATGCTGTGCATATCTGGGTGAGAGAGAAGCCTGTCAACCAGTCTTGCAAAAATGCCGGTGTCTAAAACAGTGCCTAGTACATAGGAGCCTTGTGAAATAATTGAGTGCCTATATATGATGTGTATTCCAGGGGAGCCTTGCCCAGAGAACGGGAGGAGTCCAGGCTCTGTGTCAACCCACCACAGCTCTCCACGCAGTGACTACGCAACCTACACCAACAGCAACCACGCTGCGCCTGGTAGCAACGCCTCTCCCCCTGAAGGCTTCACCTCCCACAGCCTGCAGACCAGTGATGTGGTCATTCACCGCAAAGAGAATGAAGGCTTTGGCTTTGTCATCATCAGCTCCTTAAACAGGCCTGAGTCAGGATCCACTATAAGTAAGTGACCAATTCACCTGCATTTGCATAAGGGGTCTTGTTTTTATTTGTTCTGATGGTAAAGATACTGGACAAGTAGATCAGAAAATTGTTTAGACGTACTGCATAGCCCGAAAGTCTCAGACTGGGGGAACAAATAAGTCATCCTTAAGACTGACTAGTTGCTGACCTTTGGCTCAAGAAGAATGTAAGACCATAATTAATGCACTCCCAACCCTCATAAAAGCCTTTCATTCATTTGAACATTGAGAAGAAAATAAAGCAGCGTGATGTGGCAGTGTTGCTGGGAAGGAAGGGTGCTGCTTTCGATGAGTTGGTCGGGGAATGCTTCTAAGGAAGTAACTTTTAATTGAGAGCTGTTCAGTAGAGTGAAACCAGACATGCAAAGGATCTGGAGAAAAGCAGTCCAGGCAGAAGGCTTAAGGTGGGAAGGAACTCAGCATTCAAGAGATATACGGAAGCCCAGTGTGGCTGTGGAGTAGGGAGCAGGCAGAGCAGCCTGAGGCCAAGATGTAGAATGAGGCAGGAGCCACACACTGTAGGCTTCATATGCCATTGGTAGGAAGTCTACATTGTAGTCTAAGTCCATGGGAACCATTGGAGGGTTTTAAGAAGTGTACTGAAACCTGACTCATATTTTTAAAAGATAAGTCCAACTGCTCATGGAAAATAAAATCAGAGATGGGAGGGCGGAGAGACAGCAAAAGTAGAAGCCCATGACACATTCAGGAGGCCATTACCACAGCCCCATGGCTCCAGAGATGCTGATTCCTTCCCCTAGGGTAGTAGCAGTGGATGGGGGAGAAGTAGACAAATTCAGCTTCTGAGGTTCCTCCAACTCTAAGGTTCTATGAGTCTGTACAGCAGGTGACAGGCTGTATTTCTCTTCCAATCAGCCATCTTCATAGATTCTCAGGCTTCGTCGGTTGTTTTCCTTTCTGCAACACTATTGCAGAGCTCATTCAGCAGTCAGCAAACAGTAGGACAGAAGAAGGGATAGGAAAACTTGCTCATTTTTCATATTGAAGTGATTCAGTCCAAAAGGTTGTAGATAGAAACACCAGAATAGAGGAGCATAAAGAGAAAAATAATAATAATTGCACCTATGTTGTAGTCATAAAATTCTTATAAACTGTGGTAGTTTCCAGCACTTGTGGAATAAGGGAGGGTGAGTATAGAATAATACTCAAGGTATCAAATTATTGTGAATGAATAAAAACTTTATATGGTAAAGTTGATGTTACCAAAAAAAATACCAGAACTCTGTGGAGAGAATCGCCCCATTTAGCTCTAGCCTCGACAGATTCAAGAGCGAACACTAAGGAAGCGTTAAACCTCAGTGAATATGTGCGGAAGCCAAATTACATACGTCTGAAAGTACAATTTCATTTCTCTTTTATTTCATGAGAAGTTGAGGAAATAAATCCAATCTTTAAGCAGAACCTAAAAGCAGAACTCTGTCAGTACGATGGATTCACCAAGATTAAATGGACACAAGACTACAGATTTTCACGAATTATATAAACAGCCTTCATAATTTAACAGCAATTCATAATTTAACTTGAAGAAAATATTCACAAAAAGCTTGTGTAGCTATTCCAATCATTCGAGTTGTTTATTGGGGCAGAATACCTAAAAGACTGGAACAAAATAAAAAGTGTATTACCAAGATGAAAGTGTTAAGCATGTACAAGAGATCTCAGCTTTATTTGAAGTGTGACAGCTTTATTTTTAAATGAGTAGGGGAATGTGTGTATGTGTGTGTGCGCACACAAGCGTGCACCTACTATGTAAGAAACCACAAACACAAACACTTTTTCTATTGCAAATAAAATCCATGCATGAGTGAATTTGGAAAACAACAGGTGCAAAGGCTTGCAATTAACATGTGAATTTTTCTTTCTACAAGTGACATGAGACTGACCTCAAAAGAATAATTCTAACTACTTTCAAAAATGGTATTATTTTCCATCACCCTGAAGAGTGGAAATATATTCCAGAGTTCATGATGCTTCATGGCTTCTTTTTTCACACATTTATTTCTTTTCAATCTGAGGAGTTCAAAACACAGGTTGTCCCATGCTCTGTGGCAAAAGCAGCTATTACACTGATGGCAAGTTACGTTTACAATATATAATTTGCAACATGCACCTAAAAGGTTCCTGGAGCTGATGCTCTTTCATGCTTAACTTCTGTAATAATTTTGATCTCTAATTTATTAGAGAAATGCTAAGTGCCTTGTGAATGGTAAAGAGCCATCATTGTGCACACATCCATCATCAAATATCAAGGATCCTTGGGCTCCGTGAGACTGAGAGAGGGTGATGCTGTCAGGTGTTCAGGAATCACAGTCATCCCAAGACTTGTGCTGTTTTTCTCTTCATGTATTTCCCAAGCCCAAGGATCATTAACACATTCACTGTTTTTTGTTTGTTTGTTTTTGTTCTTGTTTTTTTCATTTCATGGCTACTGCAGCCTTTTTGTTGGTCGACAAAGTGCTGCTGTGCCTTTGATAGGAACACCATGACATTTAGGCAAGAGAGTGTCGTGGTTAACAATGCAGGCGCTACTATCCTACCACCTGGATTTGAAACCTGGCTCTATCATTTACCAGCCATGTGATTTTGAGGAAGTTATGTGACCTCTTTGGGCCTCGGTTTCTTTCTGTGCTAGTCAGTTTTCTCTTGCTTGTAACAGAATACCTGAACTGGGCAATTCATAAAGAAATTAAATTTATTTCTTACAGTTTTGGAGGCTGGATAGTCCAAGGTACAGGGAACACATCTAGGGAGGGTCTTTTTCTGGGTGGGAAATCACTACAGGGTTCTGGGGTGACACAGGCAATCACATGGAGAGGATGGCATGAGCAAGAGCGCTAACCTTCTCATTTACAGTCCTTATAAAGCCATCAGAACAATGCCTATGACAACCCATTCAACCATCCACCCATTACTCCATGAATGGATCAATCCATTCACAAGGGCACAGTCCTCGTGATCCGATCACCTCTTATAGGCCCTACCTTCCACCACCACATGGGGGTTAAGTTCCAACATGAGCTTGGGGAGACATTCAAACCACAGCATTCTGCCCCTGGCCTGCCAAAGTTCGTGTACTTCTCACACACAAATACATTTATTTCATCTTCATAGCCCTAAAGTCTTAACTCATCCCAGCACCAACTTAAAAAAAATCTGAATTTCCACCTGTGAAATTAAAACAAGTTATCTACTTCCAAGATGCAAAGGTGGGACAAGCATAAAACAGAAATTGTCATTCCAAAACGGAGAAGTCAGCCCAAAGGAAGGGGTAACAGGTCCCAAACAAGTTCAAAACCCAGAAGGGCAGGCACCAAATCTCAAAGCTGGAGAATGATCTCCCTTGACTCCATTTTAGCATCCTCTCCATACTGGTGCAGAAATTGGGCCTCCAAGTCCTCAGGCAGCCCCAATCTTCCGGCTTTCCTGCTCCCAGGCCATGCTTTAGCTCTTCCAGGCAGATGTTGCACACTGGTAGCTCTACAGTTCTCGGATCCCAATGGCGATCTCACTTTCATGGCTCACCTGGGCTTGGCACTCTGCTGTGACTCTGACCACACATTTCTACTTGACATAGCTCTAGTGGAGACTCTGCAGTGACTCTGCCCCATGACAAATCTCTTTCTGGGACCCCAGGCATTTCCATACATCCTTTGAAATCTAGGTAGAGGCTGCCATGTCTCCACAGCTCTTGCATTCTACAAGCCTGCAGACCTAACACCACATAGACACTGCCAAGGCTTGTATCTTCTGAAGTGGAGGGTCCAGCAGCACCTAGGGCCAATTTAGCCACTGCTGGGGCAGCCAAGAAGCACTGGGCTAGAATGCAGGGTGGCCCTGGGCAGCGAGCCAATGGAGGGTGCTCCGGCCCTGTTCTCTGAAACCATTCTGTCTTTCTAGGCCTCTCGGTCTGTGATGGGAGAGGCAGCCTCGAAGATCTCTGAAGTGCCTTCAGAGTCTTTTTTCCATTCTTTTAATGACCCCTCTTTCTGTACTAATATCCTTAGCAGACTATGCTGGGCCATACCCTTGGTTTCCTCTTCTGAACACCTTTTTCGCTCTTTACTCTTTACAATTGTTTACCCTCTGCTTCCATTTTAATTACAAATTCCAGCTTTACATCATGCCTTTGCTGCCATAACTTAGCAAAGGCTGTTAGAAGTAGCCACGCAGCTGCCTGAATGCTTTGCTGCTTAGAAATTTCTTCCACCAAATGTCATGGCTCATCACTTTTCAGTTCCACATTCCATAAAACTTGGGCATGGACACAAAACAGCAAAGTTCTTAGCCAATTCATAAGAAGGGTGACTTTTGCTCCAGTTTCCAATAAACTCCTCCTTATTTCCATCTGAGAGCTCATCAGAATGACCTTTACTGTCCATATTTCTGTAAGCATTTTGGTCACCATCATTTAACCGTTCTTGAAGAAGTTCCAAACTTCCCCTTGTCTTTTTGCCTTCTAAGCCCTCACTAGAATCTAGGCTTTTGCTAACCTGCTCCTCCAAATTCCTTCAGCCTCTGCCCATTACCCAGTTCCAAAGCTTCTTTTAATGTTTTTAGGTATTCATTATAAGCAGCTTCCTTGGTTGTAAAGAAAATATCATTTTAATCCCTACATCGTGGTGCTGCTATGAGGGTTAAATGAGTTAATACGTGGAAGTGCTTAGAATGGCACTGGCTTAGAGAAAGCAATAAATATGTCACTGCTTCTATCTAGACCACCACTCCTGCTAGGAATTGTCTTTCCATTTTACCAGCTCACTCTTCTTAGGTAGTGCAAATTTCACACTGGCTGTCAGTCACTTGGCCATTAGTCAGAGCCACCCACTGTCCTAGGGCAGCAAAACTTGGGCATTATATGAGCATATCTCTGAGGGCCAGTTCCTCCTCCCCATAGGCTGACCTCTAGGAGTGCAATCTTTCCTACCACCCATCCACCAGCAGCCTGGGTCAGCGGTGTGG